AGAGTAGAATTGCTGGGTCATATGGAAACTTTGTTTACCCTTTTGAAGAACTGCTAGGCTGTTTTTCAAACTGGCTACACTATTGTACATTCCCATCAGCAGAGTATGAGAGTTTGATTTTCTCCACATCCTTGCCAATACTTTCTTTTTTTTTTTTATTATAGTATCCTAGCCAGTGTAATATAGTGTATCTCATTGTGGGTTTAATTTGCATTTCCTTGATGACTAGTGGTGTTGAAAATCTTTTCATGAGCTTATTGGCCATTTGTATATCTTCTTTGGAGAAATGTCTATTAAGAGCCTTTGACCTTTTTTAGTTGGGTTATTTATCTTTTTATTGTTGAGTGGAAGGAGTTCCTTATTTCGGATGCTAGAACCTTACCAGATGTATGATTTACAAATATTTGCTCCCATTCAGTATGTTGTCTTAACTGTCTTGATGGTATCTTTTTTTTTTTTTTTTTTGAGATTTTATTTATTTGACAGAGAGAGATAGCAAGAGCCAGGAACACAAGCAGGGGGAGTGGGAGAGGGAGAAGCAGGCTTCCCGCTGAGCAGGGAGCCCGATATGGGGCTCGATCCCAGGACCCTGGGATCATGACCTGAGCTGAAGGCAGATGCTTAACGACTAAGCCACCCAGGTGCCCTGATGGTATCCTGTGCAGCCGAAAAGTTTTAAAATTTGAAGTCCAGTTTACCTATTCTTTCTTTGTGGTTTCGGTGTCCTATCTAAAACCATTGCCTAATCCAAGGTCACAAGGATTTATGTCTGTTTTCTTCTAAGAGTTGTATAATTTTCTTACATTTAGGTCGTTAATCAATTTTGAATTAATTTTTAAAAATAGTGTAGGTAGGGGTCCAACTTCATTCTTTTGCAGGTGGATATCTCGTCTCCATACTAGTTGAAGGACTGGATGATTTTTTTTTTTTAAGCCACCTTCTGACTCTGAAGATTACATGATGCTTTGTAGTACATTAGTTTCTGTTATTGTCTAAATAGGTGGATAGTCAAGATTTCATAGGATGGCCATCCTTTTCTCAAGAATACATTGTGTCTAAAAACAGGGATTGTCATTGGTCTTATATCAGTTTCTTAAACTTCTCATTTGCTTCAATTCTGCCCTTCTTTGATGATGATTTGTTTATTTATTTTTAGGATTCTGGTTTGCTTCTGGTCTTTGACAGCTCCATTTTCTTTTCTTCCTCTTTTTGCACATAAGTACACCTATCCCACCAACACTTTTAATATTGGAATAGTTCGCTCACTTTATTTTTTAACTTTTTCATTTAGGTAGCTTAGAGTTTCTTCTCAAGCCTGACTGTAGCCTAATAAAAATTTCTCTGTATGTGCCACCAACACCTGGAACTTAGTGTGTGAAAAATGTGTACTTAGTCTTTCCCTTGTCATAAGCCCACCCAGTTTTTTCATTATCTTCTCTTAGTGTATTAAACTCCTAACCTTGGAGTTTTCTGACCCTTTCCCTCTTTAGTTCTATATTCTGTTCAATAGTAAATGCTGCTGATCATTCCATGCTCAGAGCCCTTGGATCTGTTGCTTCCTCCTTATTGTTACAGCCAGCCCCTCAGGCCCTTACATTTTAGAGCTTAATTACTGCCTTCTTGTTGATTTCTCATACCCTAGTTTGTCTCTGCATTAGGCCCTATACTCAAATGCTAGATTTAATCCCTTTTACGTACCCTTTTCATTAAGTCATTTCCCTGATCTTAGACCCAGAGTATCAAATTTATACACCACAAATTAGCATTTAAACCCTCCACCTCCACTTCCCTCTCCTTATCTCTTGTTACTTCCCTAAATGGGGCCAAACTAATTTGGTAGTTAGCCTTCTTTATTCTTTATTCTTATTTCTTTTTCCTCATCTCTTTCTTGTTGCAGAGTTGTTCTTTCCTTCTGGCATGCCTTTGCTTCTTTATTCTATGTCTAGTTCCCTTCAGTGATTGATCCCATTTGACTCCTTTTTCTTTTTCTCTCTTTGCATTCTTTTAATGCTTAGACGTTTAGTTTATCTAGTAATGTCCATGATATCCTGTCCTTTTTTGTTGGCGTTTGTTTTGAATATACTACTTTTTAAAAATCAGTGTGGGAACTCTTGTTTCTATTTTATTTATGGCTCGCTCCTAGAGTCCTGAACATAGTAGTTGTCCTATAAATCTTCCTGGCTGACAGACTATAGAAGTTTTGGGGCGAGAGGTGTAGTGTTTAGCATTGTCAGCATTTTTTAATTTTAGAAATGCAAAAAAATATTTTTGTGCCATTACCTGACTTTTATTTTTAATTTTCTTTTGTTTTATACCAAGTTTTGGAGACTGCGTTCTCAGTACAGTATAATGAAATTCAATAACGTATATTACTACAAATATTAAATCTAGTTTATTGAACACTAGCCATCTGATCTATCAGATTCTCCCAAGAGAAAGGTTAGCTTTTTGGATGCTGGCTAGGCATTTTTTTTTTTTTTTGACAGTGCATTATAGCCTTAAAGCCATTACTCACCATTTAATATATTAAGATCCTTGACAATTTAATAGCTACATAGCCACCACCCAGAATAAGGAGTGTTGACCTGATTTTCTTCTCTCTGAAGCTCTACTTTTGTTGCTGTCCTCTTGAAAAGCACTTCTTCCCATAACTTCCGTGTCCTCCAAAGTCAGTATTGGGAGGGAAAGGAGGATTATTGGAGTGGAGCTGGCTGAGAGAGGGATACAAGATGGAGAGCAGCTCCCAAACCTAGTAGGGGCTGGCTGTCTTACCTCCCTGCCTGCCCGCCCGCCTTCTTTCTTACCTGAGGAGCACCGTTGACTTAGAGATAGTCATCAGTTTATGGCACCTTACTAACATCATGAGTGCAAGTTTCTTGTTCTTTTCGCTTTAACCCTTTATCTTCAGTCCACATGCCCATTCCCTTTCCCATTCATATGTATCTATTGTGTTTATGTCCCTATACCTACATATTTGCTTGAAAGACCTGTAGTATAATTATGATGTCTTCAGCTTACATAATGGTATTTGCTTTTTACTCAGTGCCGTGCTTTTTAAGAGATTCATGTTGGTGTAGGTACATCTAAAGTGTGATTTCTAAAAGCTGCGTAGAATTCCATATTTCTATCCACTCCATTTTGATTTTTCCATTCTTCCAGTTACCAAAATCAAAGTTACTTCAAGTAGCTCCTACATTATCGTCGCAGCAAACCTTCTCGCACAGTCTATAAAGTCTGTAATTTGTACATAGACCATTCTATTTGAGAATTTCTCTGAAATTTACCCACCAGAGTGGGATCACAGGCTCACACAGGACAGAGACATACTTAATGGCACTAAGATCTCCTAGCAGAGTGGCTGTGTCTGTTTACCCTCCTCCCGACATCTTTGCCAACCTTTGCTGTTATCCACCATTCTCATTTTTGCCCTTCTGATTGGTATGAACAATGCTATCTCACTATCTTAATTTGTATTTTACTCATTGCTTTTTCTTTGAATTTGATCATCTTTTCATTTACTTGCTAGTCATTTCAGCTTCTTTTTCTGTAGGTTCCCTACCCATAGCTTTTGACCATTTTTCTTTTGGGTTTCTTGTGATTTTCATATAAAATTGTAGGAATTCCTTGTCTATTCTAGACATTTAATCTGTCAATTTTGGATGTTGCAGGGGCTTTTCCTTGTCTGTCATCTATTATAGCTCTGTTTGTGGTATTCTTTATTGTACAGAAATCTGTAATTTTGTTGAAGTCAAGTCTAACAGTATTTCTCTATATAGTTTGTATTTTTGGAGTCTGATTTATGAAGTCTTCCTTCTCTCTCATGTCTTCTGCTCTGCAGTGTTAGCTCCAGTGGTTTTCCCCACAACCCTGTTTACATGGCCTTTTGAAGAGCGGTCTTTCCTTTCTTACCTGTGGCTCTCAGGAGGCTTGGCAGTTGGTGTTAATGTGTGACTGCCCCTGATGCAGGAAAAAATGCAAGACAATTGATGCACGCTTTCTCTAAGTCCTGTGCTTCTACTCACAGAACCCTGTGACCCTGTTTGTGCTACATGAATCCTGTCTGCCCAGCAAAAGCTGATGGGAAAGGGATGCATACTTCCCCAAGCAGAGTAATCAAAATCTTTCTCCAAGGAATTTGAAGTTGTGACTAGTCTCTGCTGGCCTCTTGAAGGACATGCAAACTGAAGGGTTTTGGGGTGCGCATCTTCCTCCATGTTCACAAAGAAGCTAGAGAAATGGTCTGCCAGAAGGGAGAATAAAGATCTGCGCAGAGAAGCACAGGAAAAAGCCTATGGCTCCATAGAGAGGGAGACAAAAGTAGACTGTGAGAGTAGCTGTCCTGGATCCTGATGGCTTTCCAGTTTCTGGTTCTTTTCTCTTCTGAGACCAGATTGCACTTTTCTGTAGTAGTTAGCGGTGGCTAACTGCTGTAACAGACTCCAGAGTGTATAATGGCCCTAACACAATAGAAGTTTATTTCTCACTCACATAAACAGGTCCAGATGGTTCTAAGTTGGTTGGGTGGCAACACTGGAGGACTCTGTGCCACAGTTATTCAGGAACCTAGATTGATGGACGCTCTGCCATTTTCATCACATGACTTCAGAGGTCTCCCTAGGTCAGCATGAAGCCTGCAGATGGGAAATGAATGTGGAGTTTAATACATGGGAAGTTTTATAGACCAGGCCTTGATGATGCACATATCACTCCCATTCGTCTGGCTGGAACTCCATTGCATGGCTACATTTAACTGTATAGGAAGCTGAAAAGTGTTATCAAGCTGTGGACCTAGAAGGAAGAGAAAATGGGTTTGGTGAACAGCTAGAGATTGCCACATCATATTTATTATCTGTGTGATACCTCTGTATCCTTATAATCAAGTTCCTGTTTTTTTAACTTGTTTGAATTGACTTCTGTTATTTATGCCTCAGTGCGTGAGGTGTTTTCATAAGAGCTATACTTAAAAGAGTAGAAGAAATAAATACTAATTATTTTCTCAGGAAAGTTGGGTCGATTTCCACCTATGATGCATCATCACCAGCCACCCTCAGATGGCCAGACCCCCGGGGCTCGTTTCCAGAGGTCTCACCTTGCAGAGGCATTTGCAAAGGCCAAAGGATCAGGTGGAGGTACTGGAGGAGGAGGTAGTGGAAGAGGCCTGATGGGACAGATTATTCCAATCTATGGTTTTGGGATTTTTTTGTATATACTGTATATTCTATTTAAGGTAAGTGGAATCATCTTGATCATATCAATAAAATCTAGTGTCATAATAAAAATTGTTGGCATTAAAACTCTTTACAGTTCATAACCTTTATTCAAATCATCTTTAAATCTTGCCTCCTCTTTATGAGATAGTTAGGATAACTGTTATCTCGGTTTTACAGAAGAGAAGATCTAATAGCTCAGAGCTTCAAGGGTTTGACCTAGAATTCACAACTAGAAATGCAGAATCAGGACTTGAGCCTCGGTCTTCTAGTTGTTAATGCAGTGAGCAATAAAGATCAAAGAAAGCCCCCTCCCACCCCAAGTTTTTTTTTTTTTTTTTTTTTTTTACTGGATGTCTTTGCAAGCTGAAAAGGCCTAAAGATATTTTAAGGAGAACTTTATTATTAGGATTGGCACAGTGATTTCCAAGTAGCCACTGTGAGGCCCAATAATGACCATACCAACACCACTTTGCCCTCCTTTCTCACTCCAGGACTATGAGGTGCTGGTTTAACATCCACTGCAGTAATTCTGAAACAAAACTGCCAATCCTGGAAGTAAGCCTGATGTCTCCCTGCTCTGGGGAGATGTGGTTTGGGTCCTTTAAAAGCAGACTCCCAATTAAGTTCCACCTCTAGGCAGGCTTCATCAAGCTATGGGCCTAGACACCATGAAGTGGAGCAGAAGTCACGTTCTGCAGCCTTTTAGGAAATCTTAAATATTCACTGTGCCCTTCTAACCAGAGTAAGAAGCAAGTCCTTCTTGCCCAGAAACTCTGGGGGCGGGGCCTGAGTTGCATCTGTAAGAACAGCTCTGGGGGCTGCACATCCCATTTGAGATGAGTGTGGGCAAAACAGATGACCTGGCCTTGTGCCTTGATGGTTTTTTCACTTCTTGGGAACCTTTTTTTTTTTTTTTTTTTTTTAAGATTTTATTTATTTGAAAGAGAGAGGGAGAGAGAAAGCAGGAGCAGAGGGAGAGGGAGAGGGAGAAGGAGACTCCCCGCTGAGCAGGGAGCCTGACGCCGGGCTTGATCCCAGGACCCTGAGATCATGACCTGAGCTGAAGGCGGACGCTTAACTGACTGAGCCACACAGGAGCCCCTCTTGGGAACCTTCTATTGGTTCTTTCTCTCTCTCTCTCTTTTTTTTTTTTTTGAAATGTTTCTCTGATATATTTGGTTTGACTTCTGACTTAATTTTTGTCTCCCAACCTTTTTTCTTTTTTCATTTAATATGAGGGTTTCTATGACTTTGAGGTTCTGAGCTGCTGTTGATGTGCTGTACCTCCTTCCATTCTCAGCTTTCAAAGGGGAAAACTGCTGCAGAGGATCGGAAGTGCTATACTACCACAGCTGGAAACACCCACAGGAAAATTAGTAAGTGGCCCTTCTCAGTATATGCACAAGTTTTATTGAGTCAGACTGCCGTAATACAGTCAGAGGGACAGTCTGTGGATAGGTCTTAAAAAGCATTTCTGAAAAATTGCCCCAAGTTAATCTGATGCCATTTTTACCTAAGCCCTGGGAATTCTCAAGTTTCCAAATTGATGTTGGGCTTTTAAGAGAAAGAGAGTTACAAAAAGTACAAAACTGTCCATTTACTTTTTTATATATTAGCAAGTTAATATTTCACATTTGGAGTGGGTTATTTCTCATTTCCAGACCTCAGAATATTTGTAGCAGATACCTTTTTTTTTTTAAAGATTTTATTTATTTATTAGAGAATGAGAGATAGCACGAGAGGGAAGAGGGTCAGAGGGAGAAGCAGACTCCCCTCTGAGCAGGGAGCCCGATGCGGGACTCGATCCTGGACTCCAGGATCATGACCTGAGCCGAAGGCAGTCGCCCAACCAACTGAACCACCCAGGCGCCTGATACCTTTATTTCATAGAGAGGAAAACTAAGGAAGAGAGATCAAGTCCTTGCCAAAATCAGTTATTAGATCTGGGGACAGGGTTTAACACTTCTGACTCATGAAACATGATCATCAAAGATTTATTGACCAAGTAGAATATTCTGTGCTCTCTGGGGAAATGAGATGTATATGGCATGGCTCTTCCCCCTAATAATTCATAGTCTGGGATGAAAAATAACTTGTGCAAAGTTTACTGTCTAGAAGGGGACTTGGGGAAAGCCTTATGGGAAACAGCATAGAGCTGGGTCCTGTCCGATAGACAGGATGGCTTGAGGAAGACACAGCCTGACATAGGATGGCTGTGGGAAGGAAGGCCTTGAGGAGTAGGTAGGTTAAGCCATGTTGTTGAAGGCCTTGGAGGCCAAACTTCCTTATCCTGTGGATAATGAAGCCTCATTAGAAGTTTTTAAAAGAGAGACAACAGCAAAATGAAGTGAGGCTGAGCCACTGCAGCATCTGCCCTCGGCCATAACTGCTTTTTGAGTTTACTCCAGATTCTCTGTGGAAGTAGATACCCCAGTCACAGTCTGCATCCTTTTTAGAAATCTTAGATTCAAGAAATCCTTTAATAAAGCTCTTGTGTTCTTAATTGAGATAACGTCTAACCAACAGTGATGGTAAATGCATTGGTAAAATAATTTAAAAAATTTTTGGACTCTGGGGCGCCTGGGTGGCTCAGTCGGTTAAGCGACTGCCTTCGGCTCAGGTCATGATCCTGGAGTCCCAGGATCGAGTCCCGCATCGGGCTCCCTGCTCGGCAGGGAGTCTGCTTCTCCCTCTGACCCTACCCCCTCTCATGAGCTCTCTCTCTCATTCTTTCTCTCAAATAAATAAAAAATCTTTAAAAAAAAAATTTTTTTTGGACTCTGTTGAAGAATAACAAATTCTGTATCCAGTCACATAATGCATTGAAAACAGAAGTAAATAAAATAAATTCCTAAGATCAGCTGTTTTCTGATGTAGCAGTTATATCTGCTTCTTATCCTTCAGTTTTGAATCATGCAGAAAATAAAAATAAGCATTTATGTGGCACAGTCCTCTAGACACTTTGCAGATGTTAACTGCATGCATAAGAATTTGTTCTAGAAGTATTAAAAGGCCTTTGAAATACTGTATCTTACAGTGGGGCTTCTAAATATATCTGGGTAGAAGGGTACTAATGTATGAAACAGAAAAACTGGATTATCTGCGTAATGAACAGCATTTTGTTTTCCTGCTGCCTTAAAGTTGATTTCATGTACTAATTGATCTATTTTTTCTACTCTACTTTTTAGGGTCTTAGTGTTAATGTCAGTAGATCAATGTGATCTCTGTTGACCTTTGTTGAGAATACTGGGGGCCAAGGTTACACCACTTCACCCCAAATGACGAGGGTAGGAAACCTTGGGCAGGGAGGCTTCAGCCCTAATTCAAGACTTCCCCTATTGAAGAAGCATAGCATTGAAATCATGATCTTCCAGATATGTTTTCAGACTTCGGGTGCAGATGAACTATTGCTCATTTCAGGGTCTTAACTCCTTTTCTAAAGTACCTTGCAGGCTTGGTACTTTGACCGTCAAGCATCATTTGGACTAGAAAGGATAGGTTTATCTTCTTCATTTCTTCTTGGGTGACCATGTTGAGGTTTGTTTTGTTTTGTTTTTTTGCTCCTGGGTATTTTTCTTTAGTTGGTCCTGCTGTATTTCTGTGTGTAAGAGGAGTGATTTGTGCATTACTCCCTAAACATGTATCCTTTAGATCTCAGTGCCCACACCTTGGTACCCTTTGTGTCCTGATTGGACCAGCTGGAGAGACGCGGAGTCTCTTCTCTGAATCTCTGAACCAGCTGGGATGATTGTAGGGTGTCACAGCCAGCCAGTTTTGGACAAGAGCTTTTGGAGTTGTGTATGATGGTTCTTAGATTGATGCTTGTTTTTCAGCCAATTTTGAGCTTGTTCAACTGCAAGAAAAACTGAAGGAGACAGAGGAAGCTATGGAAAAATTAATCAACAGAGTGGGACCTAATGGTGAGAGGTAGGTTTTCACATACCAGGACTCAGACTATTGCCCATTTAGAGAATCCATTCAGAATTTTGCTTTTCCTTGATTTCTGGACCACTTACTTTCATTGTATATAATTATCAACTTATTTGTCATTTGTACATTATTTCTAAGCATCCATTTTCATACCATATGCTTTCAAGAGTCTCAGCTTTCAAGAGTCTTTGTTCAGTGTTGTGCACATTATTGTGAGGAGAGGTTCATGAGCAGTTCTGTGGGGTGAAATAACCAGGTTCTAATGAAGATGATTTCATAGCTGTCTAATAATCTGGTTTTACTTAAAATTATGCCTTTTTAAATCTGCTTGAGACAAAAAGAAGGCGAGTATGATCAGATCAGGCATTTGTATTTTGTGTTGACTATGCCAGAACAGGATTAGACATGTAAAGTGCGTGTCAGGAGTCACACTGGCCTTTTAGGATGCCCCACAGGGGAGACAGCCCCCTGCTACAGGGCTGGCTGAGGATCTGAAAAGGTAGCTTCAGAAGGTTGATGAAAGTGGGCAAAAAGAAAGAGAATATGGATGTGGGGAGGCCAGGGAGGAAAAGCCAGAATGTGAGATTGAGAACAAAGAGGGATTCAGTCTCCACTAGGCCTTATGATAAGGATGGAGGAAGAGCTGGGAGGTGAGTGGCAAAATCCCAAGTGCTAAAGGCCCCTCCTGTGGCCCTGCGGGCTCCCCGTGGAGTCTGCCCCAGGAAACTGCTGCTCTACCGTGGCCTCTTCTGTCTGCCCTCTGGGTGGTGCGGGTGCCCCTTATCCTCTTCTTGGCTCCTTGGCTCCGGCCTTGTGCATCTTTGGCTAGATGAGGCAAGAGTGAACATCCTCAGATTGCAGCTCCTTGGTTTTTTCTACAATGTCTACAGTGCTGCTGCAATGACATTTATGAGGCTGAGCCTTGCCTATCTGCGCCCAGGAGCCTTGACCTTCTTTTGGTCCAGAAAGCAGAGTGACGATCCAGACTGTTGGCTAGAGTGGTAGAGGAATGTGGACATATTTATACATGAATATATCTCTGTAAGTGTGTAATACAATTTGATACTTGTTGAGCACTTACTAAGAACCAAGCTCTGAGTGAAGTGCTTTATATACATTATCTAATGTAGGAGTATTTGTAGGAGTGTGACTAAACCAATTTGTACTATACTTTTCTGATCTTTTCTGCCCTTACCCTCTACTACTCACAGTTTGGGTGGGGAACTACCAGCCTTTTATGGACCCTTGTCCCTCAAAAAGTATCTGTACCCTGGTTCTGGTCCATTTGAAGACCCATGCCACACCTAAGGGTCATGAAAACCATAGATGAAAATCTGTGGGCACGGCCTCCCACCTGGGAGACTAAACCACTGGGCTTTGGAGTAAGAAGCCAGAGAAAGATATTTTCTCACTGTTACTGCTGTTCACACTCCCTTAGCTCAAATCACATAGCCCTACCTTCCCACCTGTATAGACCATCTGTGCATTGCCCTGACTACTTTCTCTGCTTTGTGCTAGGATTACTACTCTGTAAGGCAGAGGAGTTGTCCCTACCATGCAGCTGGAGTTGTGCCATCTCATTGTTTCTGGGGCCACAGGTCCTAGCTCAGAACGTTTACTCCTTTTAAGATGCTAAGGTGTGGACTCCTTGAGAACCTATTGATTCCAGCCTGCCACATGGCAATGACTGTGTAAAACATTTTCTGCACAATACTTCTCAAGAGCTAGGGATCGGCTTTCCCTCCACTGCAGAGAGCATAGCTTGTTGCTCCCTTTCCCAAATCCTTCCTCTTCTAGTCCTAAAAAGGTGACCTTCTCCCTGTCACTCCTAATCCAACACCTTTTATCCTTACAGGTAGGCCCTATGAGACTTCACCTCCAACACTGAAAGGCCCTGGTAGCCCCATGTTTTACATTGTTTTCCTTTTTATACTTCTATCCTTTAACCTTAGTCTCTGTAGCATTTGTTCTTCAAGTCTGTGTTTCTGTGATTATTAGAAGAGCCCCAAATACCCTAGTATTTTTCCATCAGATTAAAATTGAACACATTTCCACGCTCTGGGAGTCTGAGAGGATTTAAGACATAGAAGACATATTCATTTCAGCCTTCAAAGTCCCTTTATAGAATGTTAATTCCATAATTGTAAGATTTTCTTAAAATTCCAGAAATACAGTTTGTGAGCCTTCATCTCAATGCTTATGTAAGAATCAAAATATGGGGAAGGTTTTTAATATTATCTAATAAAACTTTCAGACAACTTTTTTTTTTTTACCTGTGAGCAATATGTCTATGTATGTGTTTAAGCCTTGTAGAAGGTTGGTATTGTGTCATGTTATGCCTGATATTAAGCACAGTATCCATCCCAAGGACATAAAGACTAAGAAAAGGATCTAGGAATCAGAATTGAGGTGTCCTCACTTCTGTCCTTAAGATCAGCAGCACTTCCTTTCTGGAGTAGCATGTCCGGTTGTAGTCCTTCACCTCCTGGAAGCATGGCGTGACCTGAGGGAGCAGTGAGGGCGCAGCCTGAGGCAGAAAACAGCCATAGCAGGCATGCTAAGGACATGTGTGGCCCTGTAGATTTAGGGCATGCGCTGCTGGGATATAAACTTATAGAGGACAGACTTAGTCTGTTTTGTTCACTGTGTTCACATAGTAGATACTAAGGAAATTCTTATTGTTGAAAAAAGATACTCACTTTTGAAATAAGCATTTGTACGTGTATTATGGTAGAAGAGGTAATCATGGCATTCTTTGCTAAGGTCCTCTCTTCATTTCCTGTCCTCTATATTCAGGGTCCTACTGAACATGTCTCATAGATGACCTGCCCTTCTTCAGTTAATAAATGTCTTTTGAATGAATGGATGTGCAAAATGGAAATCATCATCTATCCCAGCTGACTCTACTCCACCTTTAATATTCTCCATCTCCTCAAATGGCTCCACCATCTACTTAAAAGCCCAAAGCAGAAATCCAATATTATCCTTGATTTACCTTTTCCTTCACTTCCTATGTCTCTTTGATCATCCTGTCTTGTCATTTCTTCCTAGTTAATAAGTCTCTCTCCCTGCAAAAGACTCTAAGCTCTGCTAGGGCAGGGATTATCTGTATTATTCCCAGAGCCTAGCATAGGCCAACAGTAGGCTCTAAAGTATTAGCTGAAATGGAAGAAGGAGTGAGTGAATGAATGTTTGTTTTTTTTAATATAGTTGACATACAGTGTTCTATTAGTTTCAGTATACATTACGTAGTGCTCACTACAATAAGTGTAGTTACCATCGGTGACCATATGTTATTAATATTATTGACTATATTCTCTATGTGGTACTTTTCATCTGTGCGGCTATTTTATAGCTGAAAGTTTGTATCTTTTAATAATTTCCTTTACCTAATCCATCTTGAGTTTATTCTGTGTATGATGTAAGAAAATGGTCCATTGTATTCTTTTACATGTAGCTGTCCAGTTTTCCCAGTACCATTTATTGAGAAGACTGTCTTTTCTCCATTGTATATTCTTGCCTCCTTTGTTGTAGAGTATTGACCACATAGGTGTGGGTTTATTTCTGAGCTCTCTATCCTGTTCCATTGATCTATGTCTATTTTTGTGCCAGTACCTTATTGTACCAAAGTGGATAACTACAACTTGGTAGTTTATCTTGAAATCTGGGATTGTGCTACCTCCAGCTATGTTCTTCCTTCTCAAGATTGCTTTGGCTCTTTGGGGTGTTCTGTGGTTCCATACAGATTTTAGTATTTGTTGTTCTGTGAAAAATGCTATTGGTGTCTTGATGGACATTGCATTGAATCTATAGATAGCTTTGGGTACTATGGACATCTTAATATTCTTCCAGTCCATGAATGTGGTATATCTTTCCATTTGTTTGTGTTGTCTTCAGTTTCTTTCATTGGTGTTTTACAGTTTTCAGAGTATAGGTCTTTTACCTTGTTCTGTGAAAGGGAGGCATATGCAAAATGATCTCCAAAGGCCTAAGGAGCCAAAAGATGGAAGAAAAAGGCTGAAGAATCCAGTTTGCCAGCAAGTGGTTTATTAAAGGGACATATGAACAGAAGTGTGTTGTGGGTGGCTGTAAGACAAGTAGATCTGCACAACCCCACCTACCATAAGTCCTGCTTTTATAGCCTTAGAGATTGGGGAGTATATGTGCTAGGAGACCTGGGAGGAAATGTTTCAGAATCACAGTCCTCTCTCCAAAGAATATCAAGGACTTTATACCTCAAGGGAGTACCTAAGGGTGTCGTCAAACAAAGAGTATGTGTGGTGGGGGAGTGCTATACTGAAGAAGGCTTCAGGTCACAGAGTGGTCATCATGGTGGATTTGTGCAAGATGGTATTAGTCTTGTTCACACACACTTCTTTGGTTACATTTAATCCTAGGTATTCTTTTTGGTGCAATTGTAAATGGGATTGTTTTAATTTTTCTTTCTGCTACTTCATTATTAGTATGTAGAAATGCAGGTTTCTATAAAATAGATTTCTGTATATTTGGTATCCTGCAGCTTTACTGAATTAATTTATCAGGTGTAGTTAATTTTTTGGTAGAGTCTCTAGGGTTTTCCATATATAGTATCCTGTCATCTGTAAATAGTGACAGTTTACTTGTTCCTTACCAGTCTGGATGCCTTTTATTTATTTTTTGTCTGACTGCTGAGGCTAAGACTTCCAGTACTATGTTGAACAAAGACTGTTTCAGCAGTAGTAAGAATATCTTCTCTGGCACCTAGTTTGATTTACTCTTTGCAGCCCTATGTGGTTGTCAGTGGCAGCTATTATTTTCTCTCTAAGGAACAGTATCTCAGAGCAAGTGTACTCCAGGGACGGCATTAGTTTTCTGTGGCCGCTGTAACAAATGACCACAAACAAAATGATTAAAACAACAGTTATTATCTCACAGATCTGTTGGATGTCCTGCACTGGGCTAAAATCAAGGTGGCAGGATTGCATGCCCTTTTGGAGGCTCTGGGGTAAAATCCATTT